TTATTTTTAAAATGATTTTACTGAAATTTGATTGTTTTTAAAAAATAACTGTCAATTAATATGTGTGTGTATATTACAGGTACTATACTTAAATAGTAATTTAGATAATAATAGTAAAGAATCATCATCATGACACCTGACTAATAATTGCTCGTGAGAAGAGCAAGTCAATAGAGAAGAGCAAGAAGATAGAAAAGAAAATTAATTGGAGTTACTGAAATAACAGCAAATTTCAAACTGCCTCTATTTTTGAGAGGCACTGGATTATTTGATTGATTTATTCTGAAGTGAGTTATTGGTTACCGGGGACCGGTATGTTCTTTTTCGATTGAATATTTGATAAAAAGTAGGATACTTCTAGAATTTTTTTTTAATTTCCATGATAAACAAAATTGGATAACTCCATTGTTTTCTTATTGACGGATTTTTTGGTCTGTCTGTAACTTTAATATACATCACTTATCAGCAATGTACGTTTCGAACGAGGCCCAGTGCAAGCATCTACTAACATTCAATATCGTGTTTCCCCGATAATAAGACCGGGTATTTTTCAATTTTCATTCATAAAATAACTAGGGCTTATTTTGGGATAATATCTTTTATTCCCCAAAAATAAAATTACAAAGTAGAGAATTATGAGATCTGATATACAAAATAGAAAAGCCGATATCCATTTACTTTTACCTAACACGTTTTTATTTAAAAAAAAAAAACTGCTAAACATAGATTATTCAAAAGTGACCATATCATCATCCTTAGAATATCTTTCAAGTCACTAGATTCAAAATTTTCTATGAAGATTTCATTTAACTGAAATAACTAATTCTTATTTTGTATGGTGGGCTTATGTTATAACAAAATCATTTTCAAAATTCAGGCTAGGTCTTATTTTTGAGGAAACACGGTATGTGTAAAAAGCTTTTAAAGCCATCAGTCTTTCTAGTTGTATATTGTATACCGAACCTATTATGCCCTGAGTGAAGTGATAAGAAATGGATTTTATCTCTGAATGTGTATATTTGTGATGGAAAGCAATATACAGGGTGTCCATAAAGTCCCTTTACAATTTCAATTTTGTTGTAAAGTCAGTTCTCAATATATCTTAACCAGGTTTGTTATTTTTTAATTAGTAATTAATTAAGTATTTTTACCTCATTTAATATATCTGTGAGGGAAAAAACAATATATGGTATCGATAAATTCAATCAGCAATTATTGAAATTTTTTAGGGCTTTATGTCCACCCTCTACTTGCGGAAAATTATGAACAATTAAGTTTATTATCGGTTCCCATAAAACCAAATTACGTCACCTGGCAGTATCCTGTTATCGCCACTGATTTTTGCTTATTTTCATTTAGGTTAAAAAAGTAGGGGAATCACCTAACCTAAGATGAAGAGAATTGAAGGAAACAGATCAGAAAATCTGAGGTGGGGAAATACCAGGACAATGCCAATTAAAGTAATTTGGCTTGATGGGAACCAAAGAAAGGTGCGTCGAAAATTCTAATAGAAAAATTGGAAATTTACGGCCTTGTACAGTAATAACTCAAAATAAGCCATGTTTTTGATATGGTGAATATAGATAATTTTTTAAAATAGCGTTACCTTGATAAGAAATATTGGGATCTATTTTTTTCGGTACTCCTAAAGTATGTGAACCAAGATGGCGGACACTGAAACGTAGTATGTGTACCAGGTTAGGGTTAGGCCTGGGCCATCCCGTAGTATTTGTACCTGAAATTATGGCCTAACCTTAATCTGGAACAGATACTACATGCTGGTGTTGGCTGGTGTAACCTGTTACACATACTACGTTCCGGTGTCCGCCATCTTGGTTCACATACTTTAGGAGTACCGAAGATTACGGCCTATCCCTCAACCTGGAACACATACTACGTTCCGGTGTCCGTTATCTTGGTCCATAAAATTACGGCCTAACCCTAATCTGGTACACATACTACGTCCCGTTGTCCGCCATCTTGGTTCATAAAACTACGGCCCAACCCTAGCCTGGAACACATACTACGTTCCGTTGTCCGCCATCTTGGTTCATAAAATTACGGCCTAACCCTAGCCTGGAACACATACTACGTTCCATTGTCCGCCATCTTGGTTCATAAAATTATGGCCCAACCCTAACCTGGAACACATTCTACCTTCCGGTGTCTGTTATCTTGGTTCATAAAATTACGGCCTATCCTTAACCTGAAACACATGCTACGTTCCGGTGTCCATTATCTTGGTTCATAAAATTATGGCCTAACCTTAACCTGGAACACATTCTACGTTCCGGTGTCCATTATCTTGGTTCATAAAATTATGGCCTAACCTTACCCTGGAACACATTCTACCTTCCGGTGTCTGTTATCTTGGTTCATAAAATTACGGCCTATCCTTAACCTGAAACACATGCTACGTACCGGTGTCCGTTATCTTGGTCCATTAAATTATGGCCTAACCCTAACTTGTTACGCATACTACGTTCCGGTGTCCGTTATCTTGGTTCATGAAATTATGGCCTAACCCTAACCTGGTACACACACTACATTCCGGTGTCCGCCATCTTGGTTCAAAAAATTATGGCCTAACCCGGACCTGGTACACATACTACGTTCCAGTGTCCAGCATCTTGGTTCACACTTTTCGAGAGTACCCTACCTTTTCTTTAATCAGTAAAGGCAGGGGTGTTGAGTCAGACCATATTTTGCTCGATATTGGAGTCAAAGCAGGGATCTAAATTTGGGATTATTTGGATTCAGGAGTCAAATTTCAGTGCACTGGTGATATCGAAGTTAGAATTGTTGGGTAAAAATCTTAAACAATTTATTAGGAGGGTTCACTTCACAAATTTGTTTTTCTTCGAGCTGAAGTTAAAATTTCCTTCGACCTGGAGTATGTAGTAAAAGTTGTTTTTTAATAGCTTGATGTTTTGGCGCTCCAGCAGTATGTGTACCTATATGGAGGTAACTAATTTTGTTTACCTACTTAACTTCTAGTTGTGTGAAGGGACTGAAACCCATGGGCAGGATGTATATTCACTTGGCTAAGACAAACAGCCCCCAAACTTGTAATGGAACTAAAATTGGGAGACTCTGAATAAAATGATGTCTTAACCCTAACCTGGTAAATACATTCATTTCTACTTCTAAATATGTAAATTTTTCTTCAATTCCATAAACATGGTTCTATAAATGGCATGGCATCGTTCTATAAATTTTAACACAAATCTTTTATTTTCATATCCAAAGAGTGGAGATGAAGACAAAATACTAAACGAAAGTGGACGATTGAAATCCTTTGCTTGACAAGGCGAAATCATTAGTGCGACATTGGTAAAGCGAGCTGGAGTGGTGACTGACTTTACTGCATTTGTGTCATTCAAAGTCTAGCTGTGTTTGGTCAACTTTATACTACTTAAAATCAACTTGACCTTAAAAACAAAAAACTGGAACCAGCAGCATAATCATGCTTAAGTTAGACTGGGAATATTCTGGCCAGTCATGCACCAATGACTTCAGTGTATTGATAGTTAACCAGACCAGTCCAGCCTTGAGACAAAATTATATTTGTTCTGTGTTAGTATATAGAACCGGTTCTCAACCAGTGGGCCATGGCCCACTTCTGGTCCACAGCAACACTTTCAGGTGCGCCACAAATACATTCAAAATTGTTAGAGCTGTGAAAATTCGGTTTCATTTGTGTCACTATAATTACATTTGATTGTAGAGGCAATGAACGATAATACTGTTTTTTGTTGCTGTGGGGTAATTTTCATTCTAATTATTTAAGTGAAAGTGTCTAATTTTGTAGACACAGTTTTTTGCTTGTCTTGTAGTTTTACCCTTGCATGAAAAAGTGAATGGGTCACAGAATTTTCGTGCCATAAGAATGGGTCACGGAGAAAGAAAGGTTGAAAACGACTGGTATATAGCAATAAATATCAGCATTTTACCGAAATATGGTACTTTTTATAGTGTGATTACCATGCAATACTATTAATTTGAGCTAATGATCAACCAAAACGCTATGTTACATAAATTTCATTATCCTAACTCAGGGGTGTGCGACCTTTAATACAGGGGCTAGATACACATAACTGGGTGAAAACGTGGGCCACACCTTCATTTAACACATGCTTTCTAGTAGTTGCAGACTTTCAGTCACAAAAATTTTCGTTATTGATCTCTTGATGATATACAGCAAAAAACTAAGAGATTGCGGCCGAAGTCAATCTTAGTTCACACACTTCCTACCATTTTTAAACATTGTTTCCATGCCTACACTCCAAGCAAGGCTCTGTATAAACAGAAGCCGCTGATAATTAAGGAACTGACAAAATTTGGTATCCCGAAGTATGAGAACCAAGATTGTGGACACCAGAACCTAGCATGTGAATCAAGATGGCGGACACCTGAACGTAGCATGTATACCAGGTTAGGGTTAGACCCTAATTTCAGGTACAAATTCTACAGGAGTCACTTGACTAGTCCCCGAACTTGTAATGGAACTAGAATAGGGAAAATTTGAATAAAATTATAGCTCAACCCTAACCTGCCACACATGCTACGTTCCAGTCTTCGGGAGTACCCAAACTCTTTGCAGTTTGGCATTGCCTTCTAACCTATTAAAGCTGGCTGTGAGGTTTTGACTTAACTCTTCAAATTAGGATTCACATAGTTATCCCTGGGGTGGGGTTGAATGTTAAAATGCATCTGAATTGTATGGAGTGGAATGAAATTTGTTCAACTTTCTCCACATGGGGGCACCATGTAAAATGCTTCACCAGGCCATATGCTGCTCGCAAACCGGAGTTTGCCCCTGACGTATACATATTTGAAGCTAATAGAGGATTCATCAAATGTTTGAAAATTTTTTCCACATTTCCATTTTTCATTACTATACAAGCAGCCTCTTATATGATATATATGAAAAAATATTATTTTTGAAAAGGCCGATCATTGCATTGCCTGCCCACTTTACAGTGCTCCTGTAGTGTGTGTACCAGGTTAGGCTTCTGCCATAGTTTTATTCTGATTTTCCTTATATTAGTTCTATTACGAGTTCAGGAACTGTTTGTGTTGGTGACCGTACATTTGAACCCATGCGTATATCCACGGGTTCAATCTATATGCGGGTGCTAAAACCCATGGGTTAGGGTTAGTATGGGTTTAACTATCCGTGAAACAAAAAAAATTTCATAGATGCAATAGCATACAGGTGCAATTGTCATGGGTTCAAATGTACGTGGGTTTAAATGTAATGGAATCGTTTGTGTTACCCAAGTAAATATACCCCGTTTTCAGAGGTTTCAGTCCCTTTAGACAACTTGATGTAAAGTAGGCGAACAAAATTTCTTCCATATTGGTACACACACTTCTGGACTACACTGTGGCTGTGATTGTGGTCAACAATAAACAAATTTCAAGGAAAATATATGTTGAGGGGCTGTGCTGGAATTTCAGCGCTCCAGAAGTGTGTGTACCAATATGGAGGTAACCAATTTTGTTCATCAAGTTGTGTAAAAGAACTGGAACCTATGGGCAGGGGGTATATTCAATTGGCTAACACAGACAGTCCAAAATTCGTAATAGAACTCAAATATGGAAAATCTAAATAAAATTATTTCCCAACCCTAACGTGGCACACACACTACAATAGCACTAGAATTTCTGCCGTGTATTCCATGATATAATATTTTTTAGTCCTTTGGGCAGCGCAAATTTTTTATCTACTGCTAAGTTATACTTATCCAATTGCTGAACTATCAATGAATTCATTACATTAAGATTTTGTCCATTGAGAAATGGAAGACAATTGTTAACTCATCATTTGCACATACTTACCTGTGTGTTGACTAGTCTATATATTGTTTAGTTTTTTTTTTGAAGTCGACTACCATATTTTACAAACCATGAGACTCACTTTAAATACTTTTTGTCAAAAATCAATCATGCGCTTTTTAAGCCAGTGTGCCCAATGTATGGTCAAGGGTTTGCTTTATGCTATATTTCCTACACTTAAAACCATTGCCAGTACCTGTTGCGTTTTAGAGCCTGATGCGGCTTCTGTATGGAGAAAACCCAATCTAGACAATACATTGTGTGTGCCTTATGGTTCTTAAAATACTTATTAAAGTGTAGTGTACCAGTTCGCAATTATCAAAGTGGTTTTCTTAAGGATAATATGTGTGTTTACCAGAGCAAATTTAAATCATTTTCGAAAGTGCCCAGATAAATCTACAATTATGCTCAAAAGTTTCTGGGATATTGTTGACTCATAACGAACCTTTGTCAGTTATTGCTAACCTTTTTGATACATTCCCCCTTGCTTATTTTTATACTCTCAACCCTCTATTATTTTTTAATGTAAACTTTGACCTTAGCCCACTCCAACATATACTTTTTTTTTGGGCCAGACGTTATTGGTATAATTGCACCTTTATTCTTTTAGCAAAAATGCAATCATTAGGTTTTGTAATGCTTTTCACTGATTTTATTTTTTCTTCAACTCTTAACCACATTCGGCTTTAATTTTTAAATAAATCAAGAATACATAAGAATGAGATACGCAACAGTGAAGTATTTCACCACAATCTGTTTGGTTCCCTTTTTTGCCGGAAATAGCCATATTCTATCAAAGACACTATTATCACCCTTGAGTGACGCATGCCATATAGTTATAAAAACCGCACATTTACCTCTTAAACTTCGCCCTTTCATACTATATGGTCTCACCACTCAAGGGTGCTGTATTTACGTCTAAATTTCTATTTCATCGTTATGTGTATGTGTATTTATTTGGGTTGTGTTGTCCCTATTTATATATATTGTCCTGTCTTATAAACTTCCCTGTATAAACAGTTTTGTATACTCCTCCCTTAGCACTTTCACCACACCAAATGACCCATTGCCCCACCTTGCACAACTGTCTGTGAATGGGACCATATTATACATATTTAATCTAACGTTTTTTGTTTTATATTTGTCAAAATGGGTACATGCCGCACATTTGTGTTTTGGCCAGTAGGTCTTGTACATGCATCCTGTCTCAAATATTAATAATTATCAATTTATTTATATTTCTAGCTATTACCAGACGAATAAACATACATGCAATTGGTGCTATTGGGACACGTGGTTCAAGTGTGATATGTGAGGCAAGTGGGACACGTGGGACCAAGCGAGACACCGCAAAATGTATGGCAGATGGTTGCATCTGTATAAATAATGAGAAATATAATGGAATCAGATTCCGCACAGAAGATCATTTTTGTCTACAATGAACCGTCCCAAAATGAATGGCAGATGTGATAAATAGTCATGACTGACATGAGGCGCAGCGGTGTGGCTCATCGTGCTAAGCGTTAGGAATACGCTCGCCACCGCACCTCTAATTAGTCTGCGAGGGGTTCGCTGGTTGGAATCCCATGCAGGATGGTTATGTGCGAGAGGATTGCTGGACTTCTCGCCACGGTAGTGTGGTTCACGTAACCGCTGGTCGGTTACGGCTTCCTCCACCATCAAAGTCCATGCTTCTGTAAAAATAAAATAATCCCATACCCGACATGGAATGGTAACCCAACGAGAGGCCGTGGTTTGCCATATGGATAAGCCGTATTATCGAATTTCCTCTCCCCCGGGATAATAAGGTAAATATCCTATCCTACCCTATGAGCAAATATTTGAAAAGTCTACTCTAGGTGGCAGTATAGAATAACAAAATTAATCAATGTGGTCTATGAAGATTGACATCTGATGATCAGGACATTTAATTTAATTTAACTCAATTCCGACTTTTTCCTTTAGTAATCAAATAATATTATGCAACTATCAACCCGTCTCCCATCTAATTTGGAATTTTTAGAACCTCAACAGCAGCCACTATGTGGCAACAATGAGCAATATTCATTTGGGTATCCATGGCGACAAAATTGTAGCTTCCGGGCTAAGTTCATAATTTTTTAAGTATCTGGAATGCAAAGCTTTGGGGTTCCTAGCGTTAGTGATATAGCTTTAATTCACAATTATTTGAGGCTCTTGATATACAACAACTTAATTTTGTTTTGAGAGGAAGGTTATTATTAGGATAGGATAGAAGAGAGTTTACATATTCAGAGGGAGAGGAAAGCCAACAACACCTCCTAACCTTATGGCAAAAAAACACCAGTTACCAGTACATGTCCGGTATGGGATTAGTTAGCCAGTTATTTGATTTGGGATGCATGTACATGAGGGTGGAGGGAACTGCAACTGACCAGTGGTTATGTGAACCACCCTACGGACTACGGTTGGGAGGGGTCCAGCAATCCTCTCACACATAATTATCCATAACAGGATTCAAAACTTCAAACCCACACAAGGTAATCAATGGTGTGGTGGCGAGCGTATTTCCAAGGCTTAGCACGATGTGCCACATCGCCGAGCAGATTAATC